ACATATCTAAAGAATGTTATATTTTTCACAACTAAAAAATTTAATGTTAAGACTAATATACTGGTAATTACCATTGTACTGCACAGTATTTCCAATGCATATCAAGTTGGGTAAATTTCTAAAAAGCATTTTAAATATGTTTAAGTTTAAAGAAATCCTAAAGAATATTCCTATATATAAAGAGTAAAATATTCTGAAAAACCTTATTTACTTGACTCAAATTTGGTGTAACTTTTTATGTAAAAGGGCAAGCAATATGAAAAGGAAGTCCTCATAATTTAACCCTTACTATACTTAGCAAATATTAGGTCGTCCAATGGCATAATCTTTTGTTTTATGAAAAGATCTGTGTCTTGTATCCTCTATCCAGTTTAAGTTCCTCATCGTTTCCATATTTAAGTAGCTGGAATTTATCAATGTTGAATATCATGTCTTCTGTTGTGCATTGGAAGACTTCACTGATATCCGTTTGCAGTTTTCAGTATCTTACCCGAATCTTACCTAGAGGGGGGGAGGGGTCTTGAGAGTTCATGTACTCTACCTGTGATAACTTAGGCTAACAGGCTGTCGCTTGCAGCTGCCCGTAGGCCCGCGTATGCACTACAGCCTGGTTGGTCCGGTACTTCTTGCAAGAACTTATCCAACTGGTTTTTGAAGACTTTCACCCTTGTTCTGGCAATATTTCTATTGCTTGGTGGGAGTGTGTTTAACAGCTGTGGACCTCTGATTCAAGCTGATTTTGGTATCATCTAGTGGTACAATAACAGTGCCTTTGATACAGAAATGTTTCCGAGCTCGAACTTTATTTTGTTTGGTTCATTACCTTCTGGGACATATTTATCAGGAAAATGAATATTCATCACACTTTGTAATTCCTTTGACCTCATTTTATGGGCTATCACTATAGTCACATTAATGAAATTACTTTGCAATGTCTGAATAGAATATCTACATCTTTGTTTTTCTATTGCTTCCACGATTTTGCTAGTGGTCGAGTGTTTATTTTCCTGCCCTTAATCCACGTTGACTTTGGTTGTGTGGTTCGTTTTTCTCCATATAACTAGATCTGATTCCTAATCATCCTCTCAAAGACTTTATTAATGTGGGACATTAGCGAGACTGTCTACAGTTTGTTATCACTTCTTAGTTGCCTGCCTTGTCTGTTGATTTAAGTTCCTTTGGAATCTTGACAATATCAAAGCATCGAGTTCCAGGAGTTAACACCTAAAATATTTCTATTTATGTTGTTTAAGTTTAACATATCCTTTATACTCGTTACAAACAATGTGGAGTTAGGAAGTGAAAAAGGGAGACCATGAATGTTATACTTAAACTACTTTACTACAAAAGCAAATCCTTAAGGCATACAAGAAGCAACCCATAAAAAGAAGAAATGCACACACATTTAAAACATGATAAAAAGCAAAAACCACAAATTAGATCTATAAATGCCTTAAAGAGAACACTGTACTGGTACTAACATGACCCATAAGGGATAAATCACAAAAATGGTTTTAGCAAGCGTGCGCACACCCATAAACTATGCTGGAATGGAACACACAAGTGACTATTATAGCAGCATGATTTTGAAAATTAGCCATTCCCAATAAACATAATACTTATCAAGGGTAAAGATTCATCAAAAAGTTGTTACAATATTGTACTCATAACAGTTTTTCCATTGTTCTGGTAAAACATTATGGAATCAATTTGTTTTGTACACAGTATGTAAAGGCACTAAATTATGGAACAAAGAAGCCTTTACACAATTCTTTCAAGGAACAGTGATTTAAAGAGCTTGCAATTTTAAACTTTTTTTGTATAATTAAAGTATGATCAGTATAAAAATTACACCATTTTTCATCCAGCTGCCCATGGGGCATATTCATGACCATTTATACAACACAATAAAATGCTCTTGGGTAACAAACTATTTAACTAAGAGGCAAATTCAACTCATTCCACATTTAAAAGAATATTTATAATCCTGGACATGCAACATTAACACCCAAACTACTACAAACTATTATTACCTATGGTAGTCTCCATTTAATCACCACAGGTATATACCACTGAAGCCTTGACTTTTCCAATACCATTCTTATAACTGGTGTGGTTTTGAGCTAGAACAGTCAGAGCATCTGACTATAATCCCTGAATTTTAGAGCAGCCCATGATGCATGCTTTGCCTGTGAGTGCGCCATATGCTAAGTTTCGATGGTCATTGGGAGACCTCAGATCAGCCACAAGAAAATATACAAAAAAATTAAAGTTTTAGAATTTGCATAACATTAGGTGAATTTCCTTTATCAATGATTGAAAATTGCTGACACTGTTGTAATTGGCCTATTGCCCTTCTTCACTGATTTATGCAAGTACAAATCCTACCTTCATTGTAAGTACACAAAATTTTAATTGTAAACACTGAGTCATATTGTCACTCCCAGAGGTATAGTGATCAACTGTTTTACCCTAGTGTCATGGTCACTCTGGCAACAAAATTATATGGATCTGATGCCACAAGGCCCCCTTGGAGGTCAATGCACAGATTATAGTTACTCACACAGAATTAATAATAGACTTTGATGGGATAGTTCAATGTATTCAATATGAGCAATGAAATAATTCTAGCATGCCAGTAAACCAGGAGATCTAAGAAAATTATTCATTCCCCTTCAATGTGGTATTGTCACATGGCATAAAACTATTATAAATGTTTTATAAATGTTTAAATGTTTAAATCCCACACAAATGCCACATATTTAGCCACAAATATTTTGCCAAGCGTCTTTTTCCATGGTGGGCTTTTCCATGCTTCAGCCTTTTGAAGAATTGTCATCTAATATTTGCATATTTGTGGATATTTTTTTTTTTTTACAGGCCTCTTTCAAGAAACGATGTTGATGTCCAATACTATATGATCTAATCAAAAGCTGCTTTAGTTAGGCAGAATAGGTGATAACTTATTCAAGTCACCCTTCCTAACATTATGCAGAACTTTTTAATTTAAATTTTTTACCTCATTTTCTTCCATGGAGCTAAAATGGTGTCATAATATAGTATGTACCAGGTTAACATGCTTATCTAGTTACAGTATATCTATGGGGGAGTAAAATTTACGTCTAGAGCCTGCCTCATTGCTGCTGTAACAAGTGCATTTAAAACTCTTGATATTTCAGGGCCCGACCATACTTGCTCCTGAAGCTGTCGCACGCATGTAGTGTGTTTCTTGTGACTAACACGATCCTAGGTAGCACACGCAATACTATACCTCTGGAAGCAGCAGAATAACTGCTCAGAAAGAGGCATTTCACAAGCTAATGTATATTTTTTGTTCATATTTGTCTTAAGAATTTTATGCTTTACAACTCTATAGGAGCAAATATTTTTAGAGAATTTGCATTTTTCTAAAATGCTTTTAACCATAGTAATGGACAAAATTGTTTGGCAGTTTAGGTGTAATTTAATATAAAAATATAATAGCAGTGGGTGCCATAATAAACATTGATGTGCTTTTCTGTAGTACTACTACAGTATAATTTAGTCCGTATTAACCCCAAAGAGGGCAATATTATTAGCTATGCTGTCTGGTGCACAGCATTTCACCAAGGACAACCAATTTATTACAACATTTTTCACAAGGTTCAGCAATGGCACTCACACTTCAATTAAGGTTAATGGCTTTTCACCAATTATATTTTCAAAATTATTGCTATACTATACTGTATTTCACATATCTGTAAATGGTAAAAAGGTAACCAACACGTGGGTAATTTAACAGCTTTAAATAGCATGCCTTACACAAAAATGGAAGAGGTCAACAGCCTTACAGGAGAAAAATGGACAAGAATATCTAAAAAGCCTTCCAACAGTACTAGGTATGGTAAAGTATCCATGTTTACAATATTACAAAAGGTGGAACACTGGTTCTCATAGTGAATGCTAAACATTTACAGCATATATATAAATACTAATAGAAAACATTAAGCAGGGAATTTATGAGAAGCTCCAGTTTTGAGAACATTATCAACATGTGACCAAATGTACAAGTACAGTGTACTCCAAGCTGTATAACCTTAATACAAATAATCTGTATAATCCTCTTGCCCCATATGGCCTTCATTGTTATTCCACTAATTAAAATTTATATTACATGCCTTAAATGATGTAAACTCCTAAATCTAGAGGAAGATAGAACTTTCTACCAACTTACCTGGTTTTCACTCATCAAACCTAATATTATATGCAATAAAACACTTCCTGTGATAATAATAATGTTGATCAACATAATGCAAATCTTTCATCATTTTGTCTTGCTCAACATAAACTGTATAATCAAGTGTTCTCAAACCAGATACACATACCTCTAGTGCTCTGTTTTATGTCCCAAAGTTGCTCTAGTCAATTGAGCAGCCTTGTAACACATACTAGAGAGAACCAGGGGTATGTGTACCCAAGTTTGAAAACCCATTTTATATATATCACATGTGTCGGCAATTTAAGTTTAAAAAATTATGCAAAACATTTCATTGCAGGAAACATCTACATACAATACATTTATAAAAATCAAATCGTGAATATCAGGATCCATAAAGTAGTTGCTTCTGACTTGTTAACGTCAAGAAACCCAATAAAATGATACCAGTTCTGTTCTACAAGTTTGGCTAACACCAATATCCTATCATAGCTCACGACTTTTCTTAATGTGTTAACTATAAGTTTAAATAGTCAAATAAGATTTATTATCATTGATTAAATCTTGCCTCCAAACAAGCAGTTGCAGACATTACAACAGAGCAGTAAAAAAATGCAGACATTATATAATGCCTAAATATAAAGAAGCAAAAAAATTTACACAAGCATGATGGAGAGAGCATACAAGGTTGTGCATAACTATATTGATAGCCCTTCGAAAGAAGGAAAACAAAACAAAAAGACCAATAACAAAGAAAAGCCAATTGTTGTTAGTGCAGTGGAAAATATAAATCATTCTCACTTACATCAGTGATTTCAGGATCAATAAATGTTCCTCCAAAATTTACATAATCTTGGAGGGATGAGATTCCAGGGGCCTTCAGTCCCAGAATAAATAGCAGGCAACCGCATGTGTAGCGGACAATGAACAGGGAAAACTCCAACTTATCTGTTACCCTGCACAAAGAAAAAAAATTATATTCACAGATATATAAGTGTAACTTACTAATATTAACAAAACAATGAATACAATTTATTAGCAAATACATTAAAGATGTAAATAAATAGAAATACAAAGAATTGCTTAACCACTGCACTGCTCTGCCTCCAAATATGGCACACCCCTGGTGCGCAGGAAATAAATTGTTGGTAAACATTTTTTTTTTTACTTTTCAAAAGGATAAATACCCTTCCTTGTTCACATATGTAGAAATAAAATCAAAATTGTACTTACTTTGGCCGCATTGGCGCAGTGACGTAGACTCCCGAAGCTGGTCGCGTGCCAACTTCAACAAGCGTGAGTAGCCACAAATATTTTTTGTTCATTTTTTCTGCACAAATGCAAATGCATTTATATATTTTTGCGGGGCTAATCCTATGTATAATGAACACGTTCACACACCATATCACATTTATCAACTAGCCGCATGTTTACATTGTAGTCAATGACAAGTTTATATATTGGGAACCGTGTTTGAAAGTGAACTTTTGCCACTGTCCAACATGGCACCGGTGAGAATAGTTGTCAACATATTCACCTCGCATCTGTCTCTCCAGTGCACTGATAAGATATTGTCACACTTTCACAGCTGGCAATCACCCACTGCAATACCAATGCCAAACACTGGCATTTCCCTCTTGTAGGCCTCGACAGTGCCACATACGCTAGTGTTGTGGTCAAGGAGGAATCTGGTCAATAAGGGGCTGATATAGTAGTTGTCTGTGAACAGTATATGCCCCTTGTTCAGCAATGGTTCCACTAGTGTTTTGACGACACTGCCGGAGAACCCGTGTGGATCTTGACCTGGTATTTCAACAACTGAATACAGTATCATGTCCATGACAATACCAGTTTTACGGTCACAAAGCACAAAAAACTTGAGTCCAAACCGGTTCCACTTTGATGGGATGTACTGCTTGAACACCAGTCGTCTCTTGAAGAGGACTAGCGATTCATCAATCACCACATTCTGTCCTGGTACAAAATAGTCATGGAACTTCTCATATCACCAAAAATCTTCTGCACCTTCCAAAGTCTGTCCTGTCTTCATTATCATTGTTCTTAAAGTGCAGGCACCCGAGAAGCAACAGGAACCTAGCACGTGACTTGTACCTGTTGAACACAGGGGATGGAACAAGGCTGCCTTTGCTCTAATAATATTGGATCATGTGTTTTTCAGAATGCTTCACCATCATGCTCAATAAAAACACACACATTTCCTCATTTGTCGTGTCTTTCCATAGTGTCATGCGAGAGACAGGTAAAATGCCGGTGTCAACGAGGCTGTGAATATATCTGATCGTCTTTGCAACAAGATGGTCCATAAATTCCTTATCAAAATATGCCATAAAATAGTCAATTTCACCCATATTATCATCTGTATAGGGGGAATAACGGTGTAACACCAACATCGGTACCATCAAATGTTGGAATTAGTGGGACAATCTCACAATCCTCCCACACAAGTACGCCTGTGGGTTCGATTTTGGTGCCAACACCACCACGAGCTCCAAAAACACTGCTCCATCTTGTGTTAGAGCTGCATATAGGTATGCCAGGAGACTTAGACTGTTCTGCGTAGTGTAGACCTACGACGAACTCCTGATGTCAAGGGAACAGTGTCATCATTGTCCTCTGGCCGCATGACACGCTGCCACTTGCCTTGGCATGTTGCTGGGGCAACAAAACCCTGCCTAGTAACACCATCGCTGCTCGTACTCGGTTCGTCAACACTGCTTATATCGGAGCCTATGTCACTGAAGCCCGAGAATAATTCTTCACACGTACTATCACTAAAACTCGCATCAGAGGACATGCCTGTGGTGGTGGTGACCCCTAGCCGTGTTGACTCGTGTCAGACCTTTGTGTTAGGTCTTTCTCTGAATCGTAGTCTAATTCATCATCCATTGCTCCATCATCGTACAATATGTCACGTATTTCCTCCTCAGTCGTTTTCCTTGACCGCGATTGATTGTGGAGCGGGAGCTCGCAGACGATGCGTCAGACATGGTTGCTTCCTTGAAACCGAGGCTCCCCATGGCCCTGGGCCATGCTGGGATTTTTTTCAAAATGGCGGATGATCACTGAGGCCCTCAAGCATCAATTTTGTACCCACATCACCACTCCAGTTTTGAGTTGTACGTTATACCTATTAAGATCCCTGAGGCGCGTTGCGCACCATCTGTCGAGCACCTAAAGGCACGTTGTGCAGTGCAGTACAGTGGTTAAAGTTGTAAATGTTAAGGACAGATACATCAACACATTGCATCAGTACACAAATATTGTACAATCATGTGACTGCTAAAGTTCAATTTACTGTATTTAAAAGGCAACAGAGTGATACAGATATTGTATTACAATAAAAATAAATATAGCACTTCATATTTGAGCATGCTGTTGATACAAGACAGTCAAGAGAAGGCAGAATTAAACATAAAAGTGCAAACATTAAACAAAAAAAAATCTCACATTAAGAATATCATGTGTACATTATAATTTGCCCTACTTTCTACTTTATGAAGGTAAGTGGCAGTATAAAAAAAAAAATACTAGAGATTAAAAAATAACACAGACGTCTTCACCATATTTTACATGGTGAAAGGTTCTGTGTCATGGAAAATAAGCACCAACTCACTAACAAATCATCCAGATTTACAAATAAAACTAGATCCTTTTTTTGGGAAAATGAGGAAAGGGCTTTTTTAAATTTCACGACCTAAAACGTCAGTATCAGCACTTACAGTGCAGTACAAATTTCCATACATTCAAGAAAATACATAAAATGTTTAAAATAATAAAAAAATACATACTTACCATTTTTACCTTATTTAGAAAAAATTCAAAATGATTTGTTTCAAATTGCTTCAGAATAGCACAGAGGATAGGTAAATGATTGGCGCAATTGCACATTCCAAAGGTTAACAATCACTAACTGCACTCCACTTCATACAATGCTTATCTTCCTAATACTATTCCAGTAAGTAGTCATTTATCAATAAGGAGGTAACTCCTATTTCTTCTCAGTTTTCTCTCATTTCAAAGCTCTTATTAATTTTTCTTCATTAAATACAAGTGTGTATATATGACGGTTACATTAAGTAAAAAAACGAGTACAATATATACAAAATTGAAACAAAAATGGTACTCACGTTGAAAGGTCAAACCACCAGTCTTCATTTCTTAGATTGAGAAAGGCAAGATTTTCACTGACAAACACCAGTGTCCAGAACACAAGCAATGCAACCCCATGCCCTCGGGTAGGTATTGTTGGCAGGAGATAATTGCGCTCCAAGAACACAATACGAAGAGACAGAGGCCAACACACCAGGTTGCAGGCAAAGTATAGAATCATATATCCATAGATAACATGGTCACCTGAATACAAAAGATCATTTGAGCATTAGTGGTGATACACATTATATTGTACTTTACATTTATTAACAAAACTAATTACTATACTATACTTTTAAAATTATCTTTTGAATATTATGACAATACTGTCCAGTATATCATTATGCTTAATTGCAAACAGTGTTATTAGTAAATACAGTACATTTGAAAAATATCTTTAAATATTATAAAATTAATTTGCAATAATACTGGGATGACAGTAAAATAACAAGGCACTGAATATATATGGAAAATTCCTTCCTGAACAAGTCAATTGGTCACTACCTGGGGGCAAGTGTCCACCTCTCTGTGGACATTACCAAATTTTACCCTGATCTGTGCTACCTTCACATCTTTAGCATTGTGCTCTTTTACAAATTGCCTCCATCAGCCCACTCAAGAATTCTCAATACATCACAATGACCATGTGAAATTATCTTGGGGTTATCTTGAGATGATTTCGGGGCTTAGAGTCCCCGCAGCACAGTCCTCGACCAGGCCTCCTTTTTGTTACACCCACCCAGGAATCGGCCCGTAGCAGCTGTCTAACTCCTAGGTACCTATTTACTGTTAGGTGAACTGGGGCATCAGGGTGAAAGAAACTTTTTGCCTATTTGTTTCCTCCTCCACTGGGGATCGAACACGGAACCCGCAGGACTACAAATCCGAAGCGCTGTCCACTCAGCTGTCAGGCCTCATTCATGAAGGCTCATTCAACTTTACAGTAATTAACTTGTCTTCTCAATGCTTCACTTAATGGAGTCTATCAAGTACCAATGTCAAACTGCTAGGTGACAACTTTGCAGCAACCCCAACCCATCACCAGATGTTACTACCCACACTAAAAACACACATCTGGAGGAACCCCACTTCCCACCTATCCCAGCTCGAGCTTACAGAGTCACAGATGTCAGGAGAAAGGAAAGTGCAGAGCTAGTTTCAAAGAACATTAAATTGTGGGTTAAGATACTCTGAACACATCCAGAAAAGTCACTCTGGATCAAAGTCTGTAGCAGATACCTGGTCACAAAACTTATGTTCACTGTATACCCAAAACTTGCCTTATCAACCAGACAAGAATAAACAAGGCACACCCATGACAAAAAAAAAAAAAAAAAAAAAAAAAAAAAAAAATGACCATGTATGTACGACCACCACGCGTACACAAGTCTAGAGACAGGATGGCAACCAACAACTGCAGCTGACAAAAACTGAGAATGTCCTCGGGGAACAACAATGAACAAAAAGGGAAAGCACAAGTGAGAGCCAGGGCCCATGCCGAGTCCAAACACCTGCCAGCATGGCTTGCCGACACAAGACGGGAGGCGAAAAAACAAGAAAACCGCCTCTTAAAGGATTGGAGCATACAGCTTAAGCAGGGAAGCCAACACTGAAGCAGTAGAGGCCAAGACCCCTGCACGAGGAACCTCGATGAGCGTCCCAACATCCTCCGAGAACCAATCACAATTGAACTCTAGGAGGTTCGAGAAACGCATGACAAGCAAACTGCGAGCAGGCACGAAGGTCTTCACCAAGCAAGGTAGCCAACAGAAGGGAAACCTGAGCATGAAGCTGCACAAGACCCACATCACGGGAAGGTGCAGGAGTGAAGAGGCACACATTGAGGGGCTCAAAAGAAGCCCCCAAAACAACTTGCAACACAGAGATCACCACCTGTCAGTCAAGCATGCGGGTACAGCAAAACACGTGCAAAGCCCCAATGGAAAACAAAGGACAATCTGCTATCCAGAACGACTCCAGAACCTTTTAACGCACCAAATAAGTGGAAGAAGAACCGAACTCAAAAGAACTCTGGGTCCATAACTGAGAAACTGGGTCGTGTAGGTATGTACTAAGGGCCTCCCAGATCTTCACCGGGAAAACCAGGGAGGAACGAAACCTCTAGAAGGATGAATCTGAAGAACCCAAAGGTACACGGAAATGAACTCTGGGGTGAGCCACACCCAACTCGAAACATTTATTGGGAAGGGGGATAAGAAAACCCAACACCCTGTAATAAAAAGACCCTCCGCATAAGGTACCAGGGCTCACGAAGTATCAAACGAGACCCCAAGGGCCCCACTCCGACTCCCCCTTCCCCCCAAGCCACGAGAATTGCAGAAGAGTGCCCCTGGGGAAGAGCCCCACAAGCCCACCACCCAGAAAATGAAAATGGAGTCTGAGGGAAAGACCTCGAAGGAAGGGGCCGGCTGGGAAAACTCGGAAGCCTCGGCGAGAGCAAGAGGCTCTCTTAACTGCCTCTGAGCCCATATTGGAAAGGGCAAACACCAGATCTGCCCAAGCTACATCATGAGCTAAACCCTGCCCCAATTCCAAAACCCTCAGATGCTTTGGAGATGGAAGCAGGGGGAGAGGACTAGAGCAAAACCTGCCGACTCTGGAAGAAAGGTGGTGATGCAAATGGAAACACGGTTGACTTGACCAACACCTCCAAATTAAAGTCCCTAAACATCAAGCAGAAAAATCAAGATATAACCTGACATCCTCAAGCGCTGTAAAACGGAAAACCTTACGTGTAAAGCAGTCACCGCCTGAAACCTTTGAACGTCAAGAGAGGAATGGGTAAGATGAGTCAAATGGGTTGAACAAGTCCCACGTGACTCAGGGTCAAAGTGTCACCGACCAAACAGGCAGCATGGCGGAGGCAGAATGTATAAACACTGCCAGGTGGCACTGGCAACGAACAACCCACAAATTCACACAAAGCGAGAGCGGGCTCTGAAGCGATATCCATAGTACAACCGAGCCCACGGGGGTTTTCCAGGGCCTGCAGGGTGAATGAGCCCAGCAGGAAGTCCAGGCACTTTGAATGCTACACCAGTAACCCCTAACTGGAACAGGCAACCCTAGCCACCCAAAGACAACGGAAAAGTTAAGGGGGCAACTGCACAATCACCATAGGCCAAACCTAATAATGTGAAACAGCAAGAAGAAACCCCCAAGCACAAAAGGACAAAGGGACAAACTCTAGAGGAACAAAATGAGAAATAAAGTTCAAAACCCCCCAGCAAGAAGCCACAGAACAGGCAACCAGGTAGATACATTGGCACGGCAACAGGACCAACAGGACTCTCAAACTACAGTGCACCCCACCAGCCAAAAACACTCTCAACCCGAGGAAAGACAGAGCCAAAGACCACCGACTAACCTGAAGGGCGAGGGAGACCCCCAAGTGAGGAGACCCCTGAAGGAAGTGCGTCCCGAACACCCCAGGGAAGACAACCCTCATTGTGCATGAGCAGCACTTAAATAGCACACAGGGAAGAAAACCATGAGTACATGCAGCTCCAAGCACACTAAACTGCTGGCTCATGCTACACAAACACATATGAACAGCCTCAAAGACAAACCACCACTTGAAAAATGGGAAACCGGAGCCAGAGCAACTAAAATAGCAACCAGGCACATCAGAATAAGAACTGACAGGGGTGGGGTTGTCTGACCTAACCTGGCCTGCCTCCCTAATCCCCTCATTTGGGAGGGGGGGGAGAAGGTGGGGCAAACTAGTTTGCACTAGTTTCATGAAATTTTAATTGTTTTCATAGTTGGGGGAAATACTTTTGGCAGTTTTGAGGCTGTAGTCTCAGTTTTAACCATGCAGACGTCTGTTTTGTTTCGCTGGATTTCAGGGTATCTTCCCAGGTGGTGGCAGACATGAATTACTTTAAATGTAAGGTGTTCATAGTGCCACTGCTCCCTGCACCTCTGAGGGGGGCCAGGTTCTGCCACATAGTCCTCAGTAGGCCAGTAAGAACTCTAGTCACTAATACCACCCAGTAGCATGGCACTGAATAAATGTAATAGCTTCAAGATGCCTCAAGGGGACTCACACCAGAAAATTCACACAACGCAAAGCAAAATCTTACATATGGCATATGTTTTGAACAAACAAAGTTGAATTTCAATACACTGTATTGGAGATAAAACCTCAGCGGGACAGATTTGACAAGTTTTTGCTGCATCCAAGATGTGAAGATTGCAATGATCAGGTCTGAATTGAACTGTCCAGGAAATGGCTGAACACCAGCCTCAGAGAATGACCAGGTGATCAAAGCTCAGAATTGGCTCTATCACCATATTAGGAATTTTACACTACAACTAACTCAAGAGGAACTCTGAAAAAACGTTTATTTGAGCAATGAATGACATTTAATTTTGTTTTAATTTATCTTCTCGCCTTATGTCCATGTAGAATAAAAATATAAATTTATGATTATCAATTATGGCTAATATTTGGTCAGGCACTAAATCTAGGGAATAAATAACTAGCTCTTTCACCTTCAAAACCTGGGTCTGCTGTTCTTGGAATGATAAAACCAGACCAGCATTGCTTTGCATTTAAGAGAAAGTGAGGTAGATTCCATTCACTATATCAGAAAATTCTTACAGAAAATTAACTGTGATGAATGCAACTTTTGAATGTCCAAGAAAGAATGTGTTTAAATAAATACCTTATCAGTTACTCTATTGAAGAAAACTCATGAGACTCTTGATTATCATTAAATACTTTAGAGCAGATGCTCATTCTTTGAAATTAAAATACTTCAAATATCTGAACAGTATTAGTGATATCCAATTGAATAAAAAGGATAACCATACTAAATTGTAATCACTGCTGAACTAATTCAAAAAAATTATGTTTATCTTTTGAGTAATATTCTTCTCTTCATTTTACACTCAAGTGCAAGAAAAATTCTGTAGAAATTCTTATGTTTTCTCACCAATGACTGTTGCTTGCAGTGCTAATCTTGCAATTGTGAGTATTATCATCAAGATTGTAAGTACCACTTGTATACCAAAGAGTACTGACTTGGGCCTCAAATACTGGTCAGTCACAGTGGCATACTTGCGGTACATAATCCATTGTCCACATCCAAATAAAATTATGAATAATGAATACACTGCTGCAGTGACAGTATCCCAAAAGCAGTGGGATATCCCATGGTTGTCCCAGATGTTACTGAATGTGACATTAGGCGGGCAGTACAACATCCTGGATTTACTTAATGCCTGGAAAAATATAGATTATTTTATAAGTTGTAGACTAGATGTATGGTGTACACAAATGATTACCATGGTCTTTATATAAAAATTATTGGGTAGACTGGCTACAAGATAAATTTTAATGATACTGCAATTTATTATGATATTGGGGGGATAACAAGGGGTCTTTTAAGAATTTTTTTTAATAATACAAAATACTTTAATAGGCTTCAGATGAACTTTGTCAAACTATGGCAACAGCTTGGAATCCAGGAAGTTCATGGACTTTATTCTTATAATGCCCCCCATTTAAGATGCAATTACTATGAGCTTGTATGACCCATAGACACCAACATTCGAGAAGTAAAGCTCACAGATGCTAAATATGAAAAAGGATAGACTTCAGGCATGAATCTGGAAGACAAAACACTGAAATAAGTGGTGTTTGTCAAATAAAATACTGTAATAAGATTAAAACTAAAGAAATATGGCTTCGAGTTAAAAAGCACCTTTCTTAGTAAGGTAATTGGTTGCTTCCTTAAGAAAATCTTGCCATTCCCATAGACAACTATGCTGAATCAGGGCAGGTTGACATTTTGCACAGGTGCAATGGAAATTTGTTCACGTTCCCACAAAATCATACTGGTGCAAGTGAGACACTGGATTAGACGTCATCCAGCCCAAAATGATCTTTTGAAAGCTCTTTAATTACATTCAGTGCACTATACATCAAAGACACTGCCAAGGAATACTTCTAATCACTAATTGGCATCCTCACCACTAACCATCAACAGTGTCGGCACCTACATGTCAACAGGGTACCCAGGCTCTGCGAAATTTGCATTTTACAGAACTAAAACCCCTGAAATTTAGAGAAGTAAAAATAAGAGGAAAGGGCAGCCGCTGAATATCTTTCATGGAAAGAATAATTTAATCTACAATAAAAGACATTTATAACCTGTACCATTCAGTGGAACCACAGGAAATCAGGTAATGGACATCTCTAAAAGATACAAACCTTCAGGCTTCCAGACCCCCACCCAAAGAGCTGCTCAGGTGCAACACAGTTGTGGTACAAACACACACTTTGACCTTCAGAATCCCCTAGTCATGGTATCAGTCCAAAACATAGCAAATAATAACATCTTCAGTGTGGCTAATACCTACAGATCATAAGCATGGGACTGATTCCATTTTTCATTAACATTATGTTAACAGTAACATTAACAGATTCCAAAACATTAAGAGCATGCCAGAAGACAAAAATACAAAACCACAACTGGACAAAGACATTGATGAGTAAGTAATTATCAAAAAGAGGCACCAAGCCAGGAAGACTATAACACCAGAAGATAAATCAATGAACAGTCAAACAAACCAGCCTACACCAAGAAGGGTACCTTCAAGATGAACTGCTGTGTTTCATTCTTGGTTAAAAATTGAGGGATTTGGGTGGAGATATAAAAACATGTCCATTCCCTTGACCAGATGAGACCCCCCACCCCCTCAACCAGGTGGGTTCAACTAGTAATTGGCAGAGAACTCTGACAGCCTGTTGAGTGCAGAGCAGAATTTGAAAGGAGTTTGTGTATAGATAAATTAAACTAACAGGGGTCATTTTGGCAGTAATTCCAGTATAACCCTGGTAAGGAGATTCAAAAAAGATCCCCACTAAACCAGTGCAAAATAGCAATCTCCCTAACTGTTCACATCCACAAGAATAGCAGGACCTTGCCTTGGGAAGCAACCAAATGGTACAACTCAAAAAAAATGAACAGTAAATATATTAATAAACTAATACTACAAAAATTATACTACATAGTGATTAAGTTCATTTGCAAGCAGTAAACACATTACAATATATTCCATTATTGCACATGTAAAGATTTTCTTCAGCCTTCATGGTTAATAAATTTAAACAAAATAATAAAGTTGGAAACTGGGGCCAAGCATCATTATTTTGACTAAAACATTCATGCTGCACATAGAAATAAAGATCATATGCTACTATGCAAAGGTTCCACACATTTTTAAGGATATATTTGATAAAGGCTCATTAGGGGTTTCATCAGTACCATCCATTCAAGTTAAATTATGCAAATGAAGTAAAGCTCAAATGAGATGGTTCTTTGATATTATATTTGTAATTTTTTGGAAATGTAAATACTGTACAGTACTGTTAATGTTACTTTTCTTAAACATTCACTTTTGAAAGCCTAGAAATGTTGCATAAATAATGTAATTATAATTAAGCAATAAATTAACTATGCCTAGTACGGGATGCCTGGTGTCCAATTTATAGTTAAACTGTTTGATTGAAGGGATGTCTAGTAAAAAATGAGAAGGCTAGACATGTACATTTCCAGTTTATAGAACATTATATAAGTTTGTGAAATGCATTTTAAAATTATTAAATCATGTATGATACCTAGAAAAAATCTACAATATCTTAAACCATTCAGTATCAAGTGCACATTGTATCATGCATTGCAAAATAGAGCATACATATAAATATCAGTGTGTCATCTTTTAATCTGCAAGCACCCTTTTACTTAGGAGGTGATGTTAATGGAACTTAACTGTAGCCTCTGTTCACCCAGCAGTGAATGGGTACCCCATTGTTAAACACTTGGCGGGTCATATTCCAGGGAAAATTAGGATTAAGGACTTGCCAAAAACGCTATGCATGCTAGTGGTTTTAAAACAATGTAAGTATTGTATCTATATACATATCTTGTATCTATATAGTCTTGTATATATAAATAAAAACAAACACTTATGTTAGTATCGGATATCATTGCAGTTCAGTTGGCACACAACCTGTTACCAGTTCTGGTCAACCCATCCCACAATTATAAGAATTACGCATACAAGAGACCAGTACTGTATAGTGAAAATAAGCAAAAAAATATTTAGTAAATTATTGAAAATATACATGTCAAGAAGCTATACACAGTCTCCACATGATTGTAGATTAACAAGTTACTTTAAGAAGTGCTGGACCAACTGGATTGTAGTGAATATATGGGCCTGTGGGCCACTCCAAGCAACAGGCTGCTTGATCAAGTTATCACAAGTCGAGCCTGCAAGCCAGACTCGGAGTAGAACTCTCTAAACTCTCTCTAAGTATGCTCCAGGTTAAGAAGTTAGATATAGCTTGGGTTATTTTAAATGATTAGGAGCATATTTTGCCAATCTTGTTCATAACTGTATAATTATTATTACAGTAAATTATAACGTTCATTATATGCATACAGTTGTAGTAATAAAAAGCTAAAAAATACTTCATTCACTGCCATGTTTTTTTAAATATAAAAGTTTTTTCTATTGTATAGGGCAAGCCAGCCAGCCACACTCCACTAAACCCAACCAAGCCAAACTTAACCAAACCTTACCTAACCTAATACGAGTGCACGAGACCAAAAAATTAATTTACAAGACCTTATTTTTGTAATACAGTTTGTTATAATGTACCACCTGTATAGTTTTGTAACTTCATGCAACTACATTCTTCACCTTTGTTATACATTCAATATTATCATAACCTAAAACCGAGATAATTAGTTTAAGAATCCAACTTACTCTGTCATACTGAACATTCTTGTATCCTGTTTTCAGAGACTTTTATAATTTTTAGAACACGAGTTATTTAAAATAAGGGCAGCATTTTTGGTTACAGCATTTAAAAAAGACTACTTTAAGCAGAGACATTGGCGATTATTACAACAGTACTGTATATTTAATTATGGACTCCCAATAAGAGAAAGAGGAAATAAGAGTAAGAAAAAATGCTGGATTACCCTTTTAATTTTATTTAACAAGTAAAATAAAACCTTCCAACTAAATATAGACCTACAGGCAATAGAGATATACAGGACAAGTAAATGTGCACTTACATTGAGACTGCCATTTTCCTCACACAAGTATTTCACTACAGTATCAGTTAAAAAATACTACCCACAGCTGGCACCACCAACTATCCTCAAGTCTCCCCTCATACTCCATCCTCCACCTTGCGCACTGACCTTCCTTGCTCTCTCTCACACATGGTATCTATTCAAATCTAATATTGTGGAGCCGCCACAGTTTGTTCCCACAATGCAGCCCGTTTAGATCATCAGAAAATCCAACGGTCAGGTTTTTCAAGTTCTCTGTTCACCGATCTTTTATCATTTCAGTACAACCGATCAATCAAGGTAGTTAATTATCAGGAAAGCATGCTAAGCTAATTAGACCAATGAAGTTTTTTTATGTCTTATCCCATCTCATGTTGGCCTCCGAATGCATGATAAGAGCTGATGAGTTAGTCAAAGAATCTGCCTTCAAAGAAGGAGTTAATTATAACCTTTAATTGCCTACAAGCAGTCTGATAACTATGATACACCAAGAACTTCAACAAAATCCTGTAGATCTGAGGCTAAGTGAAATCGACACCAGTAATTCCATCTATTATCGTACTAAAATGCAAGAAGAGCCACACATCAATAGATCATGCAATAAAATCAGCAGACTTTAGATGTTACTACTGCTCGGCTCAGACTTTGTTATAAGTATCTCAGATAATTTTTCCATTACCTGCTGATGTAGACCTGACCAAATGTAAACCATGTCAACAAAATTATTCTTACCCCTCCATCACTATATGATAAAGTGCAAAAAGATATGCGAATTCAGAGACAATTCTATAACACATGTTCAAGAGATGTGTAAATATTTCATTCAAAATGATCTGCTACCAGAAATCTTAACCAAATATTCCCCATTTGTTACTGTAGGTAGTAACTAAGTGAATGTAATCTATCCACCGCTGCTCACTGGATGGGGGGACGGCGTGCAGGACAAACATATCAATTGTGACACTAGCTCTCCACATTTGTTAGTTGCTTAACTTGTTAGAAACTGTACTTGTGACCGGACTCCAGCCCATTGTTGTTGCAATGATCATCTATGATTGACCATCTATGATTGACCATCTATGATTGCCTATTAATCTTGTTTAAATTACCAATCAAGCTGTCAATGTAATCAATCGGAGCTTTAATATACCAATGTGCTTTAATATACTTACTAATCTCTCTCATCTCATTTTTTTTCTTGCAATGTATCTTATTTTATTAATTCTTCTAGAATTTACCTACTTAAAATTATCTGTTAGATTAAGGACCTGCCCGAAATGCTGTGCTTACTAGTGGCTTTACAAGATTGTAAATACTATGCTATGTATTCTCACAAACCCAATGTACCTTCTTATATATAAATAAATAAATAAAATAAACAAATAAATAAATAAATAAATAAATAAAAGAAAAAGAAAATGTTCATTGAATTTTTTAACTAGCTCAATAATTGTAACTAGCTTAGCTACCCACTTGATATGAGCCAAATGAATTGTGGGATTCAGACCCTGAGCCCATTATGTGCCTCTAACCCTTTCCACTACTGCCCACAGGATGGGTATGGGGCATATAAAATGAACTATACTAACTAAACTTATGTCTCAGTATAGTATTAATACATACAGTAATGCAATATAATAATTAATATGTGAAGAGGTGATTAAAGGTACAAGTTGGTGTGCTGGCTTGGAAGTCCAATGAGTTTATACTAATATCAGCTTTGACCAGATTATGTTATTAATTAAGTTAAAGAATTTCTAATTACTCTATTTGGCCAGCTTACAATGAAGCTTAAGTAGAACATTTTCTTTCAATTTTTAAACAAAAATTAATTTGTATTTTTAAATAGCATGCAGATGAATGAAGCCTTTTACACAGAGATAACTAGCTAATTATCATATAATCAATCTAGGTGGTAGTCTAGTACTAAATGCTTTGGCCACCACTGCTATTTTGATACAAAACCACTATTTCTGCTGTGTGAGAATATATTTTGGTGACACGACACCACCTGTACTCGACTAAACATATTCAACTATATTTAACTCGACCATTTGCCAAGAAAAGTAGAGAAAACACAAACTGGTACATGTAGCGAGGTGGCTGCCTATCTTGCCACCTCTCGTACAGTACATGTACTTACACCAAAAAGATTTTAAATGATGCCATTTAGAAGAAGTCGCAAAACCTAATGAGCACTTAAGTGGAAAAATTGTATTTCACTACTAGATTCTAGTTATTTTGAAAGACAACTAAAACAATTATATAAGACAACAAACAAAATATAACCATCTATGATTGCTGACTAAAAAAAAAATTTATACATGTTTACACAACATTAAAAATGCTAATAAATTATTTACTAATAGTGACATTGAGAAGATAATAAGCGAGTAACTTACACTGATAATGAACACATCAGGTAGTTACGCAAGTACCGGCGGTCAGCAGCGCGGTCTCGGGGCTTCTGCGTCCTCCTGCCGTCTGCCGACCCAACACTCTCACACTACACTGGTCTCTCTGTTAATTCCGGATTACAGTATAGACTTTACACTTAGGAAAATATATATTTATTTTTCATATAAACAAAATATATTCTAGAACAAATAAGAAAATTTGCATTTTATAGCAAGTAATGAGTAAATAGCTCATTTTGTTATTTTTATTATAGTAGAGTACTCTTGTGTAATACACATCAAATGGTTCAATAAGCGCCGGTAGGGTCGCCTAGGCCTGGTAGCAGCAACATAGACCCTCGGCGCCATTATTGAGTTATAATCCACATTTGCGCCACCTAGTCTGATTGATTTTGTTCATTAATTATGCACCCCATACCCATCCTGTGGGCGGGGGTGGAAAAGGTTACAGAGGCGTACAATAGGTTCTGGAACTGAACCCCAAATTCATTAAGTAAGTAACAATCTGCAATCTGATTAACTAGCTACACGAAAGTTAATGCATATATCAACATTATTTATATCACAAATGGGTCACGAACTGGACCACAAGTCTCTAAACAGCGCAATTTACATCTATGGCGAGCCAGTTACATTGTTTACTAATCATACATCCCACACCCAGCCAATGGGCAGCAGTGAAAAAGTTTACAGTCACTACTTACAGTAAGCAAACTTGATATTGAGGCCTTGTAAACAAACCTACATGAACTCTACAAGTTGTCAGAAGACTGGCAAATGCTTTTTAATATCGAAAATGCAGGACTTTGCATGTGGGGAATAATGCACAATACATCCGCCAAATCAACAACATTACCTTGCAGCAGAATGATGAAGAAAAGGACCTTGGAGTCAGAATTCACCAATCACTGAATGTTTCACAAGTGGGAACTGCAGTTAAAAAGCAAACCAAATCCTAGGAATAATCAAACGAAATTTTGACTTCAAGGATAAGAAGGTAGTTATACAACTCAATAAATCTCTTGTGTGCCCCAATTGGATTATTGTATCCAAGCATAAAGACCCCATCTTCAAAAAATCATAGCTGCTCTGGAAAAAGTGCATCACCAGGCAACACAAATCATTCGACCAGAACTAAGTCAACTCTGTTTAGGGCCACAGGGCTAACAACACTGCAAACCAGATATGACAGGGCTGATTTCATCGATACTTTTAAAATACTGAACAATTTGGAGGATATTTTTCCAGACAACTTCTTCAAAAAGTCAGATGTTGTTGTGTTTATTTAAGGGCGACAAAAAGTCAGATGTAACACATACAAGGAGCAACGGGTTCACGCTCAACACGCCACAATGTAAGATAGAAAACAGATGCTTTTTCACCCATAGGATTATAAACCTATGGAACTGCCTACCCGCTAAAGCTGTAAATGCCAAAAACGCTGCTGAATTTCTAAACCTAGCTCGACAAAATCATCAAAACAAATGGGTGACTTTCGACAAGCCGCCGGTTTCTTGTCCTCGTTGAGGCCTTTAAAGAAATAGTGGCCCTCAAGTAAATATTTAGATAAGCTTTACTGGTCTTACCACCCCTGTCTTATAATTACATTGTTGTGGATTTTAGGAAGAAAACGAATAATCGATTGACCTCGATAATATCTTCACGTTATAGCTCACAAGGTGTGTTGAGCGTACAAAAAATTAACCACCCCCAGCAGCAACAATTGAAATCTTAGCAGGCCGTGTAACACCATCTTAGGGATAAAATATATCAACAGTACAAACTTTTCATGCTACACTAGCAAAAACGGAAAAGAAATAAGGGACAAATTAAAAAGAGCTGCTTGGTATGTCTCAGCTAGCAGAGAGAGCTAAAAGATAAGGAGAGGTAAAATGATTAAGATAACAATTAAGATAGAGGATGAAGTCCATTTCACAGTGAGTCAGCTAATTTCCTACATCACCGACAAACCTTCACGAAAACTACAGTAACAATATCCTGACAGTAGAAACCTAAATAAGGGCTCAAAGCTGAATGGTTCCTGGTTCGATTCCCGGACCGGACGAGATGTTTAGCCACGTTCCCTATTTTACACCTGATGCCTCTCTCCACCTATGGCAGTAAATAGGCAACTGTTGTGGGTTGCGTCCATGGGAAGGTCAGCCGTTGACCTAGCAGAATTACTACTCGATAAGCCATGCACTTAACAGGCTTTCTGTCTCCGATATTGGGAAATCATTTGAGAAAAATTAGTTTAGTTGTTGACTTGTTGAAAGGTCTCGATAGTACAGTCGGGTTCGTTCTCCATGCACAATCGAGAATTCTGGGTTCGAGTCCCCTGGGGTGCCCAACCAACAGAAATGGTTGGGCACATTTCCTTTCACCTAATGCCTTGTTCACCTAGCAGCATGTAGGTGCTCAAGAGTTAGTCAGCTTGTTGTGGGGTTGCATCCTGGGCATTGTTTGTAATTCAACCCTTGGGGAACCATAAAAGAAAAAGCCTAACGCATGAACACACTCTGGCTTATCTCCAACACAATGATTGTGTATATTGACTTTATATTGATCTCTGGTGAGCCCCCATTTGGATTACTGTATCCAAGCATGGAGACCTCATGCTTGTTTAAAAGAACATAGCTGCTCTGGATTTTTTTGCTGGTTGTTGCCGCCGGGGGCGGCTAGTTTATTGTGCACCTCATACTCATCCTGTGAGCGGTAGCGCAAAAAGCATTACAGAGGGCACGAAAGGTCTTTATCACATCTCAACGGAGATTACTGCATTAACAAATTAATCTACCTTTCAAACCTTATAATTATAGTGTCAGCTAGTTACAGAGAATGTTCTATTTCAAGAGCTTTACAGTAAATCATTATACATTAATGGTAGGTCTTATCGCTAATACATAATTGTTTGAGCAATGGAGATATTACAGTCAAAGGGAAGCTGCTGCTTGTTATTTTTAATCTTCACAATACACTTTCTTAATCTCATATGTCGTTTATCTACTGGAAGCGAAATATGGATACAGTGTAAGGTATTTTATCCTTAGTAATAAGATGGTTTGCCATTACATACAACCTGAGTTTAGATTTATTTCTAAATGGCTCAGTTTTACTACAGTCCACGATACAGAAAGTGTGTGGACAAGGACACACACACACACACACACACACACACACACACACACACACACACACACACACACACACACACACACACACACACACATACACGCTCGAACACTATATCGTGGCTCCCGTAGGGGGTAGGACAACATGGCCTTCACCACCAGGATAAGCTTGACAAATCCTTTGAAAGTTGAGTTCGGAAGGTTGTTGGTAATGACCCCCTCGGTGTCCTCGGCCCAGATCAGGAATCCAAGACCTGGGCCGAGGACACCGAGGTGGTCATCAACAACCTCCCGAACCCAACTCCCAAAGGATTTGTCAACCTTATCCTGGTGGTGAAGGCCATGTTGTCCTACCCCCTACCATACTACGCCACGATATAGTGTTCGAGTGTGTGTGTGTCTTTGTCCACACACTTTGCACTTTACTTCATCTAGATTCTCATACAAGCCGAACTGCCAGAGATACCTGTAGCCAAGTCTTATTCGAGCCTAAGTCTGGCTTCGGAGACAAAACATGTTATTACTTGATTGCAAACTATTTATTGCTAGTAGTGAGGAAAGGGAGTCAGAAATAATTAAGCTGTCTACTTCAGTGCTGTCAATAATTTCGAGTGCTACCATTATTGCTACCAATTCAGCTTGCATTGTGGATGCCAAGTTACTAACTCTTATAAGATTGATTGATGAAGATTAAGCCGCCCAAAAGGTGACACGGGCATGAATTGCCCGTAAGTGGTAGCCCTTTTGAGCCATTACCAGTATCTAGAGCTGATACTGAAAATCTGTGGAGGTGCGACTGCACCCTGCGTGACGGGAGATGTCTCCCGTGAACTCTCATATTCCTTTGAAATGTGCTGCCATCGGGCTAATGAGCAATAACAGCACTTCCTGTAGCCCTCCCTGTAGCTGTATCGAGTGATCCGTCAGTGTATATCGTGTGTGCTATGTTGTTTTTAGTTTGTATATTGTGAATGTGTTCTATGGTGCTTAGTTTAGCAACAACCCGAGCATGAGGGTTGTTTGTGATTAGTTTCTTGGTGGGGTATGCAGGGGTCAGGATGCCAAAAGGTACTATCTGCCAGGGTGGAAGGAAGTGCTGTACTCTTTCATCTGTATATACATCGTGCAGTCCCATTATTTTAATATGAGTGGCTGTTCTTTGAATCCATTTAGACTCGCTAGTTTCATTGCGTATGTGTTCTAACAGTTCAACTGACAATGTTGCTTTTGTTATCACGCAGAAGCTGTAGTCCCATCATAAGATTGTTTTAAAATATTCTATCTTGAATGCTAGGTAAATTTAATTATTTCCGCATATTGAGAACTTTGGTAGTTATAGGATAGCCAAGTATAATTCCGAGTGCTTCATTTTGCATTTTTTCCCAGTCTATCAATAAATTTTACTATTTTGCAGGACTAACGCTGGTGTTCTGGAGAGAGTGCAAAACCGGGCAACAAAAATCATGCCAGAGCCAAGTCAACTCTCGTATCAGGAAATGTTGAGGGCCACAGGGCTAACAACCCTTAGTTTATTACCCTTCTTATTACGTTCAAATTTATATAATTTATAATTAAAGTTATTAATAATTTAATTTATTAACAAACTTTTATCGCCATCGTGTTTAATCACCAAGACGAAAAATACACATTACCAATGAATAAATTTATGGAGAAGCAGAAGGCGCAGGACGTACGTTTGGCGAGGCAGTATGCTAAATTGGCTTGAATGGTTCATTCAGTGTGACTCATGTCTGAGGGTGAGATAAAGGACGAGACTCCGGTACTGGTCGTGTTCAGAGCGCCAGGATGCAACTGGAGGTGCAGCCGGCAACCCCAGTAGTCTCCCGCGGCCGTCACTAGGTGGCGGTGGCACCTATCTCCTATCACCCTAGACATGGAGGGGGAATTAATTCCATCCTGTGTTGCCTCATCTATTGAGATGTCTAGCGCCATGGTGAGTAATTATAGGCCCACTTTTTATATATATATATTTAAAGTTGCTATAATGTTTCAGGTTACTTCTCGGTTCACACTCGGGACTTCCGGGTTCGAACCCCGGACGCGACAGAAATGGAAGGGTGCGTTTCTTATCACATATAATGTTCAACTAGTTCATCTAGCACTAAACAGGTACCCAGGAATTAGCTTGTTGTGGGGTTGTATCCTGGAGTGTGTTAGTAATTCTACTCTGCAGGGCGGGGGGGGGGGGACCTCGATATAAGCCTAACATGTATATATACACTGGCTGCTTGTCCCCACACACAATGGATTAATATTATTATTTAAATAAATGTAACGTATGAAAATAGCGGACATTGGAATGTGGTGCAGTGATACACGCAGTCATAATCGAAAGGTCATGGGTTCAATTCCAGAGGCAGGACAGAAACGTTTTGGCAACATTTTCATGCCACTGATCCCTCTGTTCACCTAGCAAAAAATAAGTACTCGGTAATTAAAAGGAGCAGGGGTCCCGGTAGTACAGTCGGAATCGTTCTCGACGCACAATCAGGAATTCTGAATTCGAATCCCGGGCGGGAAAGAAATAGTTGGGTGCATTTCCTATCACCTAATGCCTCTGTTCACCTAGCAGTGAGTAGGTACTCAGAAGTTAGTCAGCATGTTGTGGGGTTGCATCCTGGGCGGGATCAGTAATTCGACTTGGGGGGGGGGGGTGTTTTAGTTTAGTTCATTTATTATGCACCCCATACCCATCTTGTGGGTGGTTGTGGAAAGGGTTACAGAGGCACATAATGGGCTCAGGGACTGAACCCCACAATTCATTTAGCTAAGCAAGTTACAATCTTGATGAGCTAGTTACAAAATTCAGTATACGTCGTCACATCATCAATGGCTTCGAGATCGACCACAAGTACAGTTTCTAAATTAAGCAACTGACATATGTGGAGAGCTAGTGTCAAAATTTATGTTTGTCCTGCACACCGCCCCTCATCCAGTGGGCAGCGGTGGATAGGTTACAATCACTTAGTTACTACCTACAGTTAGCAAAGTGGGGATATTTGCCTAAAACTTCTGGTAGCAGATCATTTTGAATGAAATATTTACACATCGTTGGAACATTCGTTATAGAATTGTCTCTGAATTCACGTATCTTTTCGCACTCCATCACATAGTGACGGAGGGTGTGCGAATAATTTTGTTGACACAGTTTACATTTGGTCAGGTCTACATCGGCAGATAATGATAATTCCCAGAGATACTTGTAACCGAGTCTAAGCCGAGCAGTAGTAACATCTAGAAGTCTGCTGATTTTATTGGATGATCCATAGATGTGTGGCTCCTCTTGCATGATAGTATGATGATAGATGGAATTACTGGTGTCGATTTCACTTTGCCTCAGATCTACAAGATCTTGTTGAAGTTCTCAGTGTACTGCTGCTCTCAGATTGCTCATTGACAATCCAAGGTTACACTCGACGGCTCCTTTAAAGGCAGATTCTTTGGCTAACTCATCAGCTCTATCATGCATTCGGAGGCCAACATGAGATGGAGACCACATGAAATGGACTCTGTTACCATCCTTAATAATTTTGTTGTATTTGTGTTTAGCTTCGGACACGAGCATGTTACAGTTATGTCTTAAAGAGTTGAGAGCAATAAGGAGTCACTTACAATTAATGTATCAAGTTTGGAGACTTGTACACATTTCAGTGCAAGGTGGATATATGACCTGAGTATATGAATACACTCTGGCTGCCTGCCCCCGACACTATGAATTATCATTATTATTATATTATTGTTGTTGTGGGTTACATCCTAGGAAAGGTCAGTAGTTGACCTTGGGGGACCTCGATAAGATTGGCATTTATTGTTACCCCCAACAGCGACTATAATATATAATAAATAATAATAAATTTTTATTCAGGAAAAGTACATATATAGTTGATTTACAAATATAATGTTGGATTTATAGATAGAGCTAATACATACAATAGCTAAAGCTACTAATACGCATAGCGTTTCGGACGGCATAGCGTTTATTGTGCACCCCATACTCATCATTGGAGCGGTAATTTATTGTGAGATTAGGACGTAACGTCACCTTTATTGGATTTTGGGTGAGATATGACATTAAATTCCCGTAAATTTTCACGAAATTAGTTGCCCACAGACTTTTATCTGAAATTTCCTAGTCAGGAAACTTTAATAGGATTTTTAGGCGGGAAACTTTAACTGAAAGATAATAGGCAGTACTGTATATCTTTACGTAAACTTCTCCGTAGACTTTCACTGAAACTTCGTGGGGCGTAGACGTTAATGGGAATTTTACCCAGTAGGCTTTAAATGGAGTCCCCACAGTGTTCCTATGGCCGTAGCCTTTTACAGGAATCTTCATAGGGTGTATAGACTTTCACATGAACTTGGTAGGCCATACAATTTCACATAAACATTTCCATAGAATTTCACAGGAACTTCACATGCAGACTTTAACATGGATCTTACCCTGTAGATTATAATAGGAGTCCCCACAATGTTCCTATATTGATAAAGAATATGACCTTTGAGTCAGAATCCACCAATACCTGAAAGTTGAACAACCGGTTGGAGCTGCAGTAACATCAAAAGCCAACCGAATCCTAAGAACAATCAAATGAATCTTTTGAATCAATCAAATGAATCAATGAATCAATGAAAATGAATCAGTCAAATGAATCTTCTACCATCTTCAAGGAAAATAAGATGGTTATTCAACTCTGGTACGTTATATGGATGTAGTTCCTTAAGATTGGAAACATGCAAATGTCACTTATTGTATCCAAGCATGGAGACCTTATCTTCAGGTCATATTTGCGTTGGAGAAAGCTCCTCACCGGATGATAAAAATCATTTCAGAACTATGTCGACTCTCATACCAGGAACGGTTAAGGGCCTCAGGGCTAACAGCATTGCAAACCAGACATGACAGGGCTAATCCCATCGAAACTTTTAAAACGCTGATCAATATATATACTACTACTACTGCCAATAATAATAGTGATAATATTACTATTATTATTGTAATATATATTTATATATATATATAAATAAATATTACTATTAATAGTAAATTTATTACTACCAAAAATAATAATTTATTTAGACAAGGAAAAAGGGTTTCAAACTCAAGAAGCTACACTGCAGGACGGAAAACACGTTTTTCCGTCCTGTATGATGTTTAAAACTCTCACCCAGAGAGTTATACACATCAGTGTTCACACTAGAATGACTGGACGACATCCCATTACCCACACAAATGTTTAACGGAGGTGAAGAGAACGAATTAAGGGATATACCCGTAACGTGCGACATAATCAGGAAGAACATTGGCAAATTAAAATATTCTAAAGCCCGGTGTATACAATCTAAACTCGTAGAAGAACTGGCATATGATCTATGTCTACCATTCAAGCTCATTTTCTGAAAATCTCTGGACCAAGGGATATAGTTCCTTTAGATTGGAAACGTGCAAATGTCACCCATATTTTCAACAAAGGTAGCAAGAGCTCAGCAGGAAACTACCGTCTGATCAGCTTGACATCAGACATCTGCAAGCTTATGGAGACAATCCTAAGGAAGAGAATCATTCACCATCTTTCAGTGAACAATCTTGTAAAATCAACGCAACATGGGTTTGATAAAAATAGATATTGCCTAACAAACCTGCTCATATTTTTTGGGGAACTGTAACCAGCTACTCAGAAAAAGGACTTCCGGTAGATTTATTTATTTATTTATTTATTTATATATTAGTATATTTTGGTAGCAGTCTTTCTTGTAAACATATGTTGTTGAATATGACCGAAAGGGTTAGATTAATGATTCTAACACGAATCTTCTCAATATTTCTTACGTTTTTCTTCGCTGTCGAGGATAATTGAAATATTAACTCGCCAAAGTTCATTTTCTCATTTTTTATTTATTGTCTGACATCTTAAAATGTTTCGCAAGGGCTTCTTACATTTTCAATGACAGATCATGCTTATACTCATTTGGGTGAGGTGACAACACGAATCAATGGGTATAAATTGGATATGAAAACATAAGAATGAAAGTAACTACAGAAGGCCTATTGGCCCATATTTTTTTCTTGCTGCTTCTATGTTGGTTCATGGTCTTGAAGTGGGTAGAATATAGTTGTGTTAATTGGCTGTTGATTGCTGGTGTTGACTTTTTGAAGTGTGAAGTGTAAGGCCTCGCTGATGTCGAGTCTCCTGCTATCGCTGTATATATCGATGATTTCTGTGTTGCTTGTTAAGATTTCTCTGGTGATAGTCTGGTTGTGTGAGGAGAATATATGTTCCTTGATGGAGTCCTGTTGTTTGTGCATTGTTAATCACCTAGAAAGAGACGTTGTTGTCTTGCCTATATACTGAGATCTTTGGGACTTACAGTCCCCAAGTGGTCATTTGAAGGCATAGACGACGGTGGTTTCCTTCAAGGCGTTCTGTTTGGTGTTCGGGGAGTTTTTCATGAGTAGATTGGCCGTTTTCTTGTTTTTGTAGTAAACTGTCAATTGTATTTTCTGATTTTTGTCTGTAGGGATAACGTTCCTATTAATAATATCTTTCAGGACACTTTCCTCCGTTTTAAGAGCCGTTGAAAAGAAGTTCCTGTAAAACAGTGTAATAGGGGGTACAAGTGTTGTGTTAGTTGACTCTTCAAAGGTTGCATGGCGTTTCACCTTTCTTTTTATAATGTCTTCAACATAACCTTTAGAGAAGCCATTGTTGACTAGGCTTACCCTACAGAGTTCTTCATCGACTTGCTTCCATCCAGAGCTGTGACTGAGAGCACGGTCGACGTAAGCATTGACAACACTCCTTGTACCTGTCTGGGCAGTCACTATTAGCATTGAGGCACATTCCTGTGTTTGTTTCATTAGTGTAGACTGCAGTGTGGAAGCCTCCATTCCTTTCTGTGACTGTTAAATCTAGAAAGGACAGCTTCCCATCA